TTGTATCATTATATCATTTATCGTATGGAGTGCAACAGGATGCTTAAATATAATATTCTTCTTTTTCGTTTGCATCTTTAGTTACAGGATAGGTGTGCAATCTAGTAACTAATACTTGAAAATGTATGTTTATAAGGGTGACAGCTGTTATGCATTAAAATATTAAAATATCTTAAATTCTTACATTTTTGTCTTCACAGCGTTTTGTGAGGTTTCAAAAATTGATGGAGTTTTGCAGTCCCTTTTCTATGGTGAATTTTATAGAGGGTTATAGTCTGTTGAATTCGTCCAATATTTGTTCTGTGTTTGTTTTGCTTTGGAAATAGATTATAACGATATCGTCAGCATATCTGAAGCAACCGGTTGTTTGTTGTTTTATTAGGATTATTTGTTTTCCGTGTGTTATAAGTATGTTTCTGCTAATATTGTTGATGTTGGGGCACCAATGGCTAGCCATCTGTTTGTTTATAATACTGTTGGCCAAATTGAAAGTGGTTCTGTTCCATCACTGTTTGCAATATGTGTAATATTTCATTGTGTTTTTTTTTTGGTTCCTGCTTTATTTTTAGCATATTACTGATTATTTCTACAGTATCGTGTTTTTGTGCATTAGGGTACATGTTTTCTATTTCTATTGCCCCCAACAGATAGCAGCACCAAGTAAAACCACATATCCAAAATGTAACATCAGTCTCCACCCAACATTACACTAACGCCATAGCAGCCACAATATCAGTTGAAAAGAATTTCAGCAACGAAAATATCCATAGCATAACAAGTAAGGAACACAATTATAATCACTGACACAATTACTAATAGACATAATATACATTAATCATTACACATGTATCTCAGATAATAAGCTTAAGAAATTGGCACACACAAGACTCCAGAATAGTCACACACGTAGCGCGCAAGTATGGAACATCCATTTTCAACTCTTTACATATTACTCGACGAACATTTAACCTACGTATGCAGAACCGCCTTATATTTCAAGATATGTCTTATATAGATATCTACGACTAGGATAAAAGTACCAGATCTCTGCAACATACAGAAAACACTTTACAACGGAGGAGAGCAGCAATACAGGGCCGAAATGCAACCCTCACAACATTCATTCCGTTCCGGACTCTTATTTTAACTTCATATTCAGTACCTCCTACAACAAGGAGTATACCATGATTTTTATGCTGAACACAACATTCAGCCTACAACGGTTCTGATTAATTGTAGCCTAATTTTAAATTATGTTCCATTTATATTTTATTACATTTTGTTGTGTAATTTATAAGGGGCAGTCAAATTAAACGGGTCACCACGCATAACTCACACGACGCGCAAGTTGGAATTTGCTTACGGTACGAACATCTGACAACGAGCCCTTGCACACTAGTCGTTTATTTATTGTGCTGGAAGTAAGGTTAGCACTACGTGTGTTTGTCGAACATCAGTAATGGAGGCGGGTGAAGAACAGCGAAGTGTAGTGCGCTTTTTGACTGCTGAAGAAGTATGAGGACGAGAAGTTCATCGTTGCATGTCTGTTGCTTACGGCGAACACAGCATGTCACGTTCGCGTGTGCTGGCGTGGCATAAGCGATTCCGAGAGGGACGTGTGTCACTGCAATATGATGCTCGCCCAGGACAGGCTCATCGTGTCATCACTCCTGATGTTATTGCTGCGTTGGGTGGTCATATCCGGGCAAACCGACGGATCTTTGTGTAAGAAATTAGTCTTTTGATGGGAATAAGTCACGGTTCTGTACACGCCATTGTGACAAAACACCTGCTGTACCGCAAAATCTGCGCGCAGTGGGTTCCACATCAACTAACGGAGGAACAGAAGACTCAGAGAATGGCTGCATCTCTGGGTCACTTGCAACGATACCATGAGGAAGAGCATGCTTTTCTGTCCCGTATTATCACCGGGGACGAAACTTGGTGCCACCATTTTCAACCCGAGAGCAAATGGCAGAGCCAACAGTGGAAACACGCGTCAATTCTCCCCCACCGAAGAAATCCAAAGCCGTACACACAAGTTCCGGTGAAGCGATGATGACGTTCTTCTTCGACTGCAAGGGCCCTCTGCTTGTCGAATTTCTCGAGCATGGGGCCCAATCAGTGGACAACACTATGAAGACACTTTGCAGAAACTGAGACGTGCCATAAAGGCAAAACGCCCTGGGATGCTATCGAACGGCATTACCCTTCTTCAAGATAATGCACACCCCCACACTGCCAACTCTGTGAGGAGCTACAGAGATTTGGTTGGGAAGTGCTTCAACATCCCCCCTACAGCCCAGATCTCTCCCATGTGATTTTGACATTTCTGGAGACCTGAAGCGAGAGACATTTGTGGACATCGGTTTGCATCGGACGAAGACGTGTGTGGCTGGGTAAAGCTGTGGTTCCATAGACAGCCCATAAGGTTTTTCAAGGATGGGATTGAGCGTCTTATCTCCTGCTGGGATAAATGTATTAACAGTTTTGGAGATTACATTTGAGGTAAGAAATTGTCTTTAATATGTTTTGGCTTCTGCCCCGTTTTCATTTGACTGCCTCTCATATATACGAGTATTCATATCATTCATTTAAAAACCATTCTATACTCCACTTTATCATACATTCAAACCCAGGTTAGAAATCTGGCAATGTAAAGCCTGGCCAATGTACGTGTTTAGTAGAAAGTTAATACTGAGTGTACAAGATGCCAGGAGATGGCCTTTCCTGCCGAAACATGTAGTTGATCAATATGTGTAGCTGATGTTCTATATCACACTCTGTCGACTGACCTACGAGTACTCATGGTTAAAGATCTTTGTTGAATAGGAGGGGCACAGTGTGGTTAGCAATACATAACAGTAATAAAGTAATCCTTTTAGAATATGGCCAGATCCAGTATACGAACTTCACTGACATTTATAGCATTCTTCACTGGACAAAGTCAGAGTTACACAATGTCAATGAGAGGAGCTAATTTTGACTTTGGTGCTTATCGCCATACAAAATAATTTGTTACCGAACGCCAATTTAGATATTGGCCACTGCAGAACTGAATTAATACCTAGTTGCCTCAGTGGCAATAGTTTGTCAGAGAATGTCTCCTGAACACACTAGACATTGGCCCTTCTGACATAAGGAAGACTATGTCAAGCATGGTAATTACCGTTACCAATTCTTTTTTTTCTTTCCTTTGTTCTTGTGGTTCTGCAGCCCTTTGAACCTTGGCCGCTTTTTCAGTTCCTTAATCCTATACACAGTTGGTAGGACTTCTTAGACGGGGGAGCAGGCCATCGCAAGGTCTCTACCTATACACAGAACAACAGAAACAGACACAGACATCCATGCCTCGAATGGGATTCGAAACCACGAACCCAGAGTTCGAGGGGGCGAAGATGGTTCATGCCTTAGACCGCGCGGCAACTGTTATCGGCTAGTCAGTACTGGTGTTCATAGTCATCCAATAGTGACATTGGCCCTCGTAGTACCAAGCCATAGAAATAAAAAAGGAGGGCCACTTCCCGGTGTCTTTCTTTTATATCTCTTTAATTTTATGCACTATTGCCCGTACCACCAGTACCGCCCGCTGCTTAACATCAAACTGTGGAGGTTACCTAGCATCTAGCGAAGATGAACTGGAGAGATAAGAACAATGCCGGTGTGTAGGTGTCGTCTCTGCGACGTCCAGTACTACAATCGAAGCTAGAACCAAGTACCTCCTGTACACACATCGGCTGCTTTAGCGTCCTACTTCTGCCGAGTGGGTGGCGTAACATTTCTACTCATCCCAACACAGCGATTAACAATTCTTGTTACCCAGTACAAAAACATCTGTGGGCTTAACTTGCCTGAGCCATGTGCAGTCTGCTCTCATAACGACCAGGCTACATGCGCCTGCGTCGAGTGAGTAACATTCCCGCTTCGTATTCGGAAGGTCATGGGTTCAGATCTTTCACAGGAGATCCACTGTTCTTAATAAAATTCTTCCTGGTTTTCTCAGTTCCTGCAGGAAAATGTCAGGAGAGTACCACAAACTGGACCACGAGCGCCCCTTTCTATATCATTTCCTATTGTCTTCCTCTCATTCGTTGGTTACTGGCTGCTGGCAATGTCGTTTAATAAATCGCAAGCAAGTAAAATGAATAAATATTGTATCCTAGATCCTGCTGCATATCGCTTATTTATTCCTGTCAGTTCATAACAGCTGCACACAACACAGTAAGAGGAACTACCCCTCACCATTACATGTATATCACAAGAAGAACATGTACACGAAATACTAATTTTTTCTTTCCTTGGCACTACAGCCCCAGTGCGCCTAGGCCTACATCCATGAACTTCTCCGTTCACTTCGATTTTTCTAGGTCTTAGACATTCGGTAGGACTCCTTGGGCGGGTGATCAGCTCGTCGCAAGGCCTCTACCTGTACACAAACACAGAAAAACGCAAACAAACATCCATGCCGTGAGTGGGATTTGAACCCACGATCCTGGCTTCCGAGCGAGCGAAGACAGTGCACGCCTTAGACCGCTCGGCTATCGTGACCGGCCACGAAGTACTAATACATGTTAGAAATAAATTGGCGTATAGACGAAGGCATAACCCAAATATTGAACTTACGGACGGAAGGATAGAAGTTCCATAAACGAACTTAGAGCCACTTGAAGATGACCAGAGTTGGTCGAAACATGCAGTGTACATACACCAGTGATATAGAAGAGATTTTAACGTTTAAAACTTTTAAAGGTTTTGAAAAGCAAGTTGCATTTCAGACGGCAAACTAACAAGAATGAATAAGTGTTTGCCTTTGTTTTCCTCTATACGTATATGTCTTGTGAAGAACCCCCCCCCCATATCAAACCAAATCAAGTAAGATGGAAGAGAACTGTTCAAAGACATAAAAGAGCAAGAAATAATAAATGAGAAATGAATAAAAAAAAAAGTCAAGCAACGAAATATCTTTACTGAGTGACCATGTGTTCGATTCCATTGCTCAGGCCCACTGGGCGCCGTGCCAAATGTGAGGGGGAGGGGACAAGGCCACCCGGTTGTCGAGCAGTGTCAATCACAGGAGCCAGCCGTGCTATGGTCTCCACTCGATCCACAGCTGGAGTGGCTGGAGTGCTGGGCCGGTCAGGCGCCGTGAGCAGCAACATGCAGTCTAGCCAGGTAAGCTCTAGCCCCGAGAGGCAAAGCTCTTTCAAGTGTTCAGTTACAGCACTTACGGATCGCTTTGGTAGAGTTAAGGCTTGAGAGTTATTGCCTTCAGATAGTCCTTATAGATATAAACTGCAAATAAAATATGTTTATGTTTGTTAGTTTGTCATTTCTTTATATTGAACTCATGCCCCAACTAAACGGTCCTTTTAGCGTTTAGAAAGAATCAGCATTTCGCAATTAATTCAGTGTCACAGAATGGACGAATTTCTGGTCTAAGAATATGGAAGAAATTCCTGCAATTCTGATTCACTTGATTTTATTTCCGGTATACCAAAGACATTCTGATGTCACTTTTATTTTTTCCCCCTTGAAATACGCCGGGTGACGAAAAAGTATCTGTGGACTTGAAGGAACCTCGTATCTGTTATGCAGACTATACCCGTGTCTAGAAATATTTATTCATTTCAGTTGATTCAATAAGACAAGGGAATATTTTTAATTGTAAACGTTGAAATTGAATTCAACCGCTTCAATAGTTTTCGGCTTGAACTTTCATATTTTCCATCAGCCGAAGGCTAATCGGATGTCTTCATGCTTGCATGCTTTCAGTTGTTTGTGGCAGCAACTGCATGGACTGAGGCGGTTATGACTGATTTTTGTGAAGTGGTCGCATAAGTTCGCCTTGCCCCGAATAAGGCAGTCTAACGCATTGAAATCTAGAGAATTTGTTGCCCATTCTGAGGATTTTATAGGTCCAAATGTAGCTTTGACCGACAGTTTTAAATTGTGGTTAATATAAATTTAATATTCGAAATGAGAAATGTTTTTGTAAGTTGCATCGGTGTGGCTGTCAGATCTAAAACGGGAGGTACCTGTCGCCGTTGACTCACTTCCCCTGTCTGACAAAGTATGTTGGCTTCAGTTATGCTGTTATTTATTTCTTTCAATTTTCTTGAAAGGTTGAAACAAGTAAAAAAGTCAAAGGTAAAGTTGTCCCTGTGTTTAACTAATTAGGCACTACGCCGTGAAGGCTTATGGGGGAATGGATGTACAGATCCTCTTTTCTTTAACTCACTAGTTGGAGGTGAGTGATCAGCTTCACGCCCCGGCCGCTTTACCCCGGCGAAGTAGCCTCCGATATCCATTGGACAGGAGGCTGGGTGGGCCCCAGAGCCAGTCTGGACGAAGTGAAGAAGAGAAATTCTTGACCCTGTCGGGACTCTAACTCCGGCCCCTCTCTCGGTCGTCGAACCCATAGCCAGTCGCTATATCGACTACTCCATCCCGGTTGCGTAGGTTGAAACACGTTACGTTTGATAAATCTTTTTTTTTTTTATTTGAGATAGATTCATACAATCTGTCCAATGAGGACAATGAGCACTTTTGGTGACTGATGCGGTGACTATGTCATTAACAGTGTTAATAAGGGTGATAAATCTCATTTAAAAATGGATTGGTGTGACGCCTAGTAAAGGTGGACGCCAAGTGATTTAACCACCACGATAATTATATCTATCGAAAAATTTATGAATTGGAAATTATTTTTCATGGTGAGCGCTGTTATTGGTATTATGTTCCTTGATGAACACCATTTCTTCCAGTCCGCAAAACAAAAATAGAGATGGTACCTGCGTCATGCTACTTATCCAGAAGATAGAACTATACTTCCTAAAGAGTACTCATAAAGCGAAATTTCGTAATGTGATTTGTTGTTTCCCGTAGGTGCGATAGTATAGTTAAGGGTTATGTTCTCTTCTCGCGGTGGGGGGGGGGGGGGTCAGAAATAGAAGTCGCCAATTTTATTGCCTGAAAATATACATATAAGCATTGGAAACAAATTATAATATAAATCTTGGTAGCCCTAATATTCCATAAGGAAATACCTTCCAGAGGCAATTTTTTAACAGAACTAAGAGGGTATGGACCTCCAAATGGTTAAGAAGAAACAGCAAAATCTTATACGCGGTGGAAACCAGAGCAGAGCTTAAGGCGAACGGACTGGGGTGCCTTGCGTTCGTCTTTCTGTTTTCGCCTTTGTTCACAAGAGCTTCTGATGAGCACGTTCGCTTTCGGATTAGAAGCCAAACCGGGGACTTGAACTCATGTGTATCTTAAGTCCAAACTTATGTCTAGTGACTCACTGCTGATACAAGGAACTTCAAACTCAAACTGCAAACACAAAAATAGGTTTGTTTGATGTTCTGTGTGACTTAACTGTCATTGAGGTTGTTGCTCCTCGAAGGTGAAGCATGACTGTCGTATTGCTCGACCTAGCAGGTCTGCATTTGAGTTATGACAGCCTCGTTACATGCAATACTACTACTACTACTACTAATCCTACTGCTGCTGCTACTGCTACTACTGCTAGTACTACTTATTATTATTGGGGATACGAGGTAGCGTAGTTGGTTGAGGCACTATGCTACAAGCCGGAAGGCCGCGGATTCGAGTCCTAATGAGGTGGATTTTTTAATTGACCTAATCCTTCCAGCCGCACTATGGTCGACGCAGTCTCTAATAGAAATGAATACCAGGAATCTTCATGGGGGTAAAGGGCGGCCGGCACGTAAGGCTGACAACCTTACTGTCATATGTGAGCCAACTGTCTAGAGAAAACGTGGGATCCTCGACGTCTCACAACCCTACGGGCCTTCATGGCTTGTTACCTCATTTACCTTATTATTATTATTATATTTTTTTCCTTGACACTACAGCCCCAGTGGGCCTAGGTCTACCTCCATGAACTTCTCCGTTCACTTCGGTTTTTCTAGAACTTACACGTTCGGTAGGACTCCTTGGGCGGGTGATCAGCTCGTCGCAAGGCCTCTACTTGTACACAAACACAGAAAAACGCACACACATAAACTAAACATCCATGCCCTATGTGGGATTTGAACCCACGATCCCGATTTCCAAGCGAGCGAAGACAGTACATGCCTTAGACCGCTCGGCTACCGTGACCGGCTATTATTATATTACATTTCTTAATTCTCAATACCAACATTCGTGTTAATGAAATTATTATTATTATAATTATCCCGTGTCGAATTCTTTATATTTCGTCGATGTCGGTCCCTGCGCCTTTTCTTCTTCGGTTCTCCGACCGGCATTACTTCGGCGTCTTGTACGGGTACCTCTTGTAATTCTGCCACCTCAGGTTTCCTGTTCGCTGAGGCCAGATCTTCTTCTTGACGTACCTCCATTACTAGGCAGGCCATCGTCACTCCGACCGGTATTACTATGGGAACCTCTTCTTTGTGTGTTTGTTTGTTTACTTCTCTTCAGTAATGTGTTTCCTCCGGTGCTTGCCTGTAAGTTGTCTTTGACTTTATGTTGTGTTTGTCCATAATGTAATTACTTGTATCTGCACTGTGTCGTGTCTGCAATTGGCCTTGTAGCTGTTGACTCGGCATATAAATAATAAAGAGAATTATTATTATTATTTTATATTGTGGCCTTCTATGTTATACCACAATGTGGTTCTTATGTGGATACTAACGTTTCCAAGGATAATTTTGGGTGTTATACACCATCGTCAGAACCGTTTGGAATTTATCAGAGTAAAAGTGCCTTCTGTGAACGGAGTTCATGGAGGTAGGCCTAGGCCCACTGGGGCTGTAGTGCCAAGGAAAAAAAAAAAGTGCCTTTTACCCTGAGGATTGAGACCGTTATTCTTTGTTTGTTGATTTATTTAATTAACTTCTATCAACAATATCTATCTATCCGTTCCTGTTACTCCCACTGGGAGCATAGGGCATCTGTGGAAGGCTCCATTTCACTGCAGTTTCTTCATCTTAGACATTCGGTATGACGCCTTGGACGGGGGATCAGGCCGACGCAAGGGACGTTACCTACACAGGTTAACACAAACACAGAATAAACTCAGACAAACATCCATATCTTAAGTGGTATTCGAACCCACGACCCCAGTGATTGAGCGAGGTAAGACAGTTGATGCCTGATACCGGCCGGCTTCAACAACATAGATTTGTATAAATGTATTTGTGGTTTATTCAGCGCAGTTCTCGTGTAGCTCAAGTTGTGTAGTGCCGACTGGTAGGATGGTTATTGAATGAAGATATAGAAAACGTGTGGAAGGAAGCAGTTGTGTCTTTCGGGATCTTATCCCAGCGTTTATCTCAAAATATTTAAGAAAATCCTGATAAAATCTCAGGATATTTGTCGTCGCTGCTGAGGTTCGAAACTTGAACCTCTCAGATCAAATTACACAATGAGGAGCTTCACATCTTGTACTTTCTCACCTACTAAGATCTACAGCACAATGTTTGGATATTTATAATATGAATACCATTTTACATCTCAATATGGCGCCGTTTCTACGTTGTTTCACGGCTCCACAACAGCAAATTTGTTGATTTGAAGGCTTATAAGTAACAAGAAGTTACAAAACAATGCATTTTAGAAATATGTGCCCACCCTAGTACAGTTTCCTACCCCTGTTTCATTATTATGTTTGTACTATGTACGCAAGTTTTTATTAATTTTTATGTGCCTGTTAAAATGTTGTATCGACTCTCATAGTCTTAGTTTCTATTGTCACTCTCTTCGCCCACAAAGAGTCCTCGGTAAGGATACGTTCTACAGTATCTGTGCACATGACGTAACCGCTGGTTTTTGGGCGAGGTCCAAGTGTGGATTTCCTTGCCACGGTGTTCCCGTTTGCATGTTACGTACTTGACACGCCCACAGGAATGTTAATATTCGCAATTTTATAAAAACTCTCTCCAGCATCCGTAATTACGTAAGTGGGAATGGAGAATACTGCAGGAACAAGATTTATCTCCTCTTCACGTCGTCAAGACCGGTTCTGGGGCCCACCCAGCCTTCTATCCAATGGGTATCGGGGGCTCTTTCCCTGGGGATAAAGCAGCCTGGACATGAAGCTGACCACTCACCCCAAACTAATGCCCAGTTCAAAACTAGGCGGATCTGTAGTGCTTAGTTAGTTAAACACAAGGACAACTTTACTTTTTTTTACATAGTTCTGA